TACGGTATATAATATATATATATAGGTCTATATATATGTATTTATTTAATACGACCTATATGAAAGAGAATAACAAAACTGTTTATTATTGTGCAGTATTTAAGTAAAATATAACATTTCTGAAAACTGTTTTTGAAACAGTCTACCGATCCAAGTAATTGTGAGAAAATAGCGTTAAATTATCTACAATGTTATTTAGTCAGAAATTACGTTATAAGAACAAAATAATGGTTATACAATTTGAAAAAAAAAATGCATTATAACATAAAATTATTGTTAGTTGTGAGGTGTACTTCACCAATTGTTTACGCTTTTCCTTGCAGGTTACACGCGAGCAGACACCAATGTGGTAGAAGTAACGGCAGAAGCTGTATCTTCGTCGTCCATTCGTGTCGCATGGACGCCCTCATCATATACTTGCGATGTCCTAGGATATACTATTCGCTACGATCACGAATACAACAACGAAACAAGTATGAAAACAGGGTCTACTGAATAATTTTAAATAAGCTAGCAAAATAAGATACCACCAGGGGTGTATCCAGTTTTTTCTGGGTGGGTCGTGATCATAATTGTTGGACCTTTTCAGTGGGAGACAGGAAAATCGATTACAGCGCCACCAGCTTGAAGAGGATGGCAGGCTCAGTTTCAGAATTGCTGGAATTGAGATAGATTATGTCACGCAATTGGCAAGGACTTCAGGGTTAAGTTGTTTTTCCCTGTGTCTCATTAGAATTTAAAATCAGTTTTGTTTTTATTTTTGTCACCAGCTATCTTACCACAGAGAGTATTCGGTGGTGTATCCAAAAGTGCGCGGGGCCGCAAGTTCCCCCAGTCGCCCCCACCCATCCCCAATTTAAAATGTCAGGAGCAAAAAAAAAAAAAAAAAAAAGGAAAAAAAACACGCTCAAATCATATCACCTTATTTTCTGACCCACCTCCCTCTCACTTAATCTTCAGCTCCCCCACTTCACATTCGTTCCCCCAACCCCAAATTCAAGATTCCCAAGATACAGTATTTAATATTAATACAGCATATCGTCCAAAATGCAAATACTGTAGCTACAAACTTGAGCACTTAAAATAATCTTTTTCATAATAAGTGTATTTTTTTGTTCAGTTTCGGAATTTGAAATTGTCAATGGAGGAAACATACGAAGTTCAATACTGCAGTCCTTAATAGAAGACACGTGGTACACAGTCAGTGTAGCAGCAATGCATATTGAACAAGAACTTGATCAAGTCGGATTCGTCAAAGTATCCACGCTCTCAGGTATTTTAAAGAGTGTTTTGAGCTCTGATGAGGGGCTCTAGAAACACTCGGCCGATTAATTAATCTGATTGATTAATATATTTTTTTTTGTATGGGCGGCTGTTAGGGCCAATATGTTCTACTGCCTCAGAAGCTCTAGCAACACTCGGCTGGTTGATTAATAGATCTTTTTTGTATGGGTTGACGTTAGGGCCAATATACTTTACTGCCTCTATTATACTGCCCTTATTGGAGGCTTTCGAGATAACGAGAACTTGTTTATGGCTAGATTTAGTTTTAACTTTTGAACTTGCAATATGGGTGGAGGCCATGTGTAAATAAGCTAACTTTTCTACGTAAAAAAAGTTCTGTGCATAGTTGCGCATCCGCACTTCAAAAAAGGCGGAGCCAAGTTGGCAAATTGTGACGTGCTACAGCGTTTACGGTGTGTCAAAAACTGCATCATAATGTTGATTCGAAAGTTTTTGTCGTATTGCTATTTACATATGGAATGATTAATCACTGTGATATTAGATGTGATGTCATAACAATGCCAGAATTAAGACAAAATTGTCAATAAATATTTGTATTTGTAATCTGAATTCAGGAAGTACACAAGAAACCATAACGACAGGTAGGCATGCTTCAGCTACTACCACGTCAAGTAACGACCAACAAACAACATCCAAAGAAGGTACAACTGTTGACGCGTCAGCTGAGCCACCATCAACGAAGCACACACCACCTACTTCGAAACAAGTAACCAATACTGCAAAATGGCCAAGCCATACGACGATTTCATCCGTTGAAACAACACCTGTATATCCAATAGATAGTATTGAAAACGGAGGTGTAGATCTTAAACTAAGCATTGCATATACTAAGGTATGCAAGAAAAGATAAATAAATTATATATTGTTTTGTAATTAATAGTTTTCATGTCAGTTGGTAGTAAGTAAGAAGTGCTGTTTTAGATTTTAATATTTAAATGAAAATAAGAATATAATTAACACAAATATTTTTAAATGATAAATCGATTTCTCTTCATCTTGAATTGAATTTAGCTTTATAATGGATTTCCACAAGCAACAAAATATTTTAATATGCATGAAAGAAGCGATATGGACCACATATTAGAATATAAAGTTGAATACGATATACCAACTGTAAAATACTACTTTTTATTCCATTATACAAAGGATAATTCGTAATGACATCTGAGTTTCTGTTCTTTCTTCAAAGTTTAATGCTACCGAAGAAGAGGCTTTTAGATCATCAATAGCTACGAGCACTAATTTGTATTGTCAGCAGGAGCCAGACGTGTGCATGGGTCCTCCGAAAGTCGTTTCGTAAGTAGGCCTATTCCACTAGTGACGAATATGCTTTCATTAGACATACATACATGTATACATACATACAGACATACATAGGCCTACATGTATACGTACATATACTGTATTTATTCGAATAAACGCCTCGGTATTGTTGAGAAGGGTTTTTAAGGGTCGTGTATTTGAGGAGGGGGGGGGGATTTTTTTCTTGTGTAATGTGGATACGTATATCCTCAAATAATCACCCCTTAATTTCCCTGGAAATGGAGCTACAACACACCGCTTACAATGTGTATCGTGTGATCATACTTTTTGATCTCAACCAGGTTAGAACAAATGTAATTTTCCTGGATTAGAACATTAATAGGATAAATTGAGAATGATGTTGCTTCCATTAGGTTTGTTTACAGTCATTGGGTGGGGGAGGGTGGCATTTATTTAAGGGAGGCGTTTATGCCAAACAAGGCTTTCGAGGGGGCGTTTATTCGAGGGAGCGTTTATTCAAAGCGGGCGTTTATTTAAGTAAATATGTATTGAACGTTTATTTATTGAACTTGCCTTCTCGTAGAGCTTTATACCTTGTCCAGGAATTTCTGGCGCCGCTAATTAGGAGCTAGCTCTGAGGAGGCTATTGGATCTCGTATTTTACTTCTTCATGTTTTCGTTACTGTTTGTGCGCGATGGTGTACTTGTTAGTGATGGTTATAGCATTAATACGTCCATGGCTATAGTAAATTCATAATTACCACGGCAAATTGAGAGTAGTAAAGTTCCGTTGGTTTTTAAACCTGACAATAAAATTGAAGACTTTATAAAGACTGAGCTTTTTATTCGGTACCCGTACTGTGCATTTGAATAATTAATAATAGACTTACTTAATCAGTAAAATTAATTATTATTCATAGGAAGAAGCACGTCCAGATTTTCCCCTTCTTAAAAATTAGCCTGGTATTTCATTTTGTATAAATGTAGGGAACGTGATATTATTGTATTTGAGATGGCTGATGGCTCGGCATCTCGAAGAAAAAGACGTGTTATAGGAAAAGCCACTACTGATGATAGTACTGCAGTTTCTTTCTTCATAACTCAAGCCTATAGCTCTGAGCTACTGATGCTTTCAGACGATGTGCAGAGCATGTTGACTGCTTATGAAACAAATATTGAAGAGGATCTTGGCTACAACTTCGAACTGGAGATCGACGACTCTACGACACAAACTTCCACTTCTTCAACAACTACAAGTAGGCATACGACAAGGTTAATCGAACCAGTCACACCGGTACCCGGCACAAAGGAGCCGCCAGTCCTCGAGCCATGGGCCATAGCCCTCATATGCTTTGCTGGTGTCTGTGTGATTGTTCTCATTGTCGTATGCTTCTTAAGTGCTAGAAAAAAGTGAGTAACAATTTCATTGAGAGAGGTGTGTAGTTTTTTATTCTGATCATGTGTAAGTCATTTTTTATACCGTGTGTTCCTCTCACTTTTTTCAAGCCACCAATTTTATTTTCACAAGCAAAAATCACTTTAAAAACCTCAAGCTCCTTTTGATTTGACATAGGACTTAACTTATATATCAATTTTCAATTCAAATCAATTTAATATTTATTCAATTTAATTTAATATTCGACAGTCATGCTACGCATGCTAAAACTGCATTTTGTGACTAAGGGTTTTCTCTACACATTGTGGCTAAAAGTGTAGGAGCCTAGTTTCGAAAATATGGAGTAGGGTTACGTAATAATGAGCGCCACTGGGTGTAAACACCGTGTTGGCACGCCACTTGATGACCTACCGTAATGAAATCAGTGGTATTGTCCCATGTATTGTATGTGTGCCGCTAGCAAAGAATGGTACTGTACACAAATCATTTTTGATGATGCCACATAAATTAGCATTTTTGATAATGTCACATAAATTAGAATCTAAGACACACACCTAGTGAATAAATTAGTGATTTTGACTTATTGGTAATCAGTCAAAATTAATAAGATAATCGTAACCTTGTTAATATGAAATTTAACCAAACATAATGTATTAGTTTAATCCGATGGTCTTTAAATGATAACTTCTTTTGATTTTTTAGGAAAAATGTAAAATTTGATGGTGGTATTGAACTAACCGGAGGTACAAGAGAGGCTGCGTCACAGGCAAGATATAACGATATCGTAGCCGAAACCAACAGAGGATTTGTGGAGGACAAGTAGCTACTTGATAGTGAACATTTCCTGAGTGTCTTAGCAACTGAATAATCAGAACAGAACCAGGAATTCGCGCATGCGCATGTCCTACAAACAAAACTACGTTGTCACACAAACGCACGTGGCTCAGTGTACATTTACGCTATTGTTTTGTGGGACCTTAGTCCATTCTCTTTCGATCGACCCACACCTAACCGTCTGTATGAAATATGGTTTCCATTTTGTTCTTCTATCTCTATCTTCTATAATTATTGTGTTTTTAATGTGGTGTACTACAGTATTCGTTTGATTTATTAGATCAATAAATCTAGTTCACTTTAATATTGTATACTGGTGTCAACGTTAGAATTTAAAATCTGAATTGTGGACACTTAATGATGGATGTCTCTATATATAGCAGATGCTGTTGAAATTGGTAGTCAACCTCCATCAAAAGCATACCGATAGGCACTGTAATCATGTTAGTGACTACTTTTCAGTTTTTCTTGGAGGTTTGCATGGAGTGGACAATTTAAGAAGGGGATTAATATTTAACTCAAACCTGGGGCACTTTTTTACATTTCTATTGTTTGGTAAAAATGATATCTGTGTTTTTATTCCATTAAAAACCTAAGCCTGTTTTCCACTAGGCGAAGCTCATGCGCATTCACATTTTTATCCGAGTTTTTGGCTTCAGCGAAATCAGTAGTTCAAACTGCTTTTACTTTTTGCGAAGCGAAAAAATATGCAACCAATCTGTGCGAACTGGCGCTTTCGATTCGCCCGAATAAATTCGCCTAGTTGCAAACAGGCTTTAGTATTTGGTGAACGAAAAGTGATCAATTACTCCATCTTCTTTCTACAGTAACATACTCGATAGGACAAAATACAGTGTATATCAAACTGTTACTGTATGTTGAGGACACTGTAATCCTATCAAACGGAATCTACTAAACTGACTAAAGAAGCAAATACTATTTAATTTAATGTCATTTTAAAAATAAAAATGTAGTTGTATAACTGTTTTAAAAATTGTGTACTATAGATTTTTTTCTCTTTCTACAGAGCCATACCGGTATATACCAGTGTTTTAAGAGTGATGTGGATTTACTATTTTTACTATAGATTTTATTTAAATCTGCCATAATATATTAATACATTATTGTATGTCTCAATTATGTAATTTACAACTTTGATGCTTTTAAGTGATGAAAGACTAAAATAAAAATAACAAACATGAATATTGTTATGAAGCACCTTCAAATTTGAATAAATGTAATAACCTAGACCTGTGCGTAGGCAGTGCCTTGTCTAAACAACAGTAAAACACATAAATAAAATATAATAGTCAAGAACACAGGCAGTGTTTTATAAACATTTTATTTGCCGGGATGATGTTATAATAGTGTTAACCGAGGTTTCCAAAATGATGACACAGTTGAAGCCTATATTATAAAATATGTATTCAGATTCATTTCCCACTATCAGATTAAAATATTTATGAATTATGTATACAGAAGAATATGTATAATAAAATATGTGAGACATTCTCAAGACTTGTCTACATTGTATAGTCTATAGTAATTTTAGTATTTTTGTGGAGTAGAACTCAGGGTTGGTTAAGTGATTTTTGCCTTTATTCACAAGGTCCTTACCTACGACTACGCGATGTAATTTTACATTAAAAGCCTCCTCCTCTTCACTATTACTTTATCATATTGCAAGGTTTTTTTTTTATTTGTTAATCAATTAAAGACCATTATGTTATAACGATAACCACAAATATTTATTTGTTATTGTTATTTATTCATTCTAGAAAATACAAATTAATATAAAAACATCAAAAATAAAAAAAATCAGGAATTCACGACATATAGGAATAAAGGTGACTTGAATTTGAATTTAAAATTATTTTCCTATTATTTTTTGGTGCATTTTTGTTTTGGGGTGGGGACTGGGCCCCTTGAATCTGCCAAATATTTCAACAGAGTCTGTAGGTGTGTGGCAGTATCATGACTATTCAAGGAGAAAAAGATCGATTAAGTGGAATCCTGAAGTCCTAATGTATTTATATATAAACATCAACTTAAATGCAAAAAGAAACAAGTCGTATCTTCAACGAGAAAAACGGCTCAGTGTGTTATATTGGAAATTGCATGGTGTTCCTATTCACCGATATCATGCACAGCGCCAGCGTCATTGGTACTACCTCGGTTGTTAAAATGTTTACATATAATAATAGTAATCTAATACTTATACAATAATCATTTTTTGTATTTTAATGGCAATCTTTGCAATTTGGTGTAGAAATAAAATGGCCTTAAACGGGTGTGGTTTTATTGCTCAAGATACAAATTTATTGTTATTATATCATCACTTGAGACACGCGTAGAATTGACTAATTATCTTGTATGATAATTTATAGGCGTAAAGCGCAAAGTCCAGTTATAAATGTCACCACTCCCATTATTAATAATCAACAGCTCGTAGCAATCACGCTTGTAATTACCTATTGTTGAGCCGTAGCGATTCTACAAACCATGAGTTGAACAAAATAAACTGAAAATTAGATTTTAGGCCTTATTATGTCTAGTGTGCTTGTTAATATAACATTATTTCAAAGACCCTACTGAAGTTACAAAAGTTGTCGAAACACTGAGGGATATCGCGGATCTACAGCCGTGTCACAGCTTGTGTTATCTGATTTATTTGTTTACTTCCAAACCTCATCTCACCTCTGTAAGATTACATTCACTATATTTTCGTCATATGAGAGAGTACCGTTTACAGAATAAAGATCACCGATACTGAGAGGTATTGCCGTTTCTGTGTCTGGTGTCATTTTTAATCATTAGATTATATTGGTCGTCAACTTTTAGAATATTAAAGTATTTTTAACAAGAATAAACAATGTCGTCCAGACGGGGACTAGGAGTATTTATACTGACAGTATGTTTTTCCTTCATATCAGTTTGCAACGGGACATGTGAGTATGTTTCTAATCACATATGTAGTAAATTTGTAAGCCTTTTGTCTTTTAAGTTTTTATAGCCTGAGATTTTTTTTGGACAAGGCACTTTTCCACGTTTTCTTAGGAAGGACCAGTCAATGTAAACCTGCCATGTGTTCCTATCCACGATTTTCCTCACCTTATGCCAACTAAAGTTAGCTTTGACCACGTAGATGTCAATATGACTGACACAAATAAAAAAATGGGCCCCAAAATGATCTATATTTTTTGTTTCTTTCAAAGTTTAGTCAATGGGTCTGTCATTCTGGTAGTATTAAATCTATGGCTACCAAAGATTTGGCCTCAAATTATTATTTATGCTATCTTTATTATATATATATATATATATATATATATATATATATATATATAGGCCTATATATATATATAGAGACAAGGCCTATATATATCCATTAAAATGATTCTATTGCAGCTAAATCTGAAATTTTTAAACAATAACAAAATGAGACATTACACGTTTTCTACAATACTACAAATTAAAACAAATTTATACAGATTAGACATTGAATTACATTACATTATCAAAATTATTAAAATTATTTAATGTTATAAATTTGTTAAGATTACCAATTCAAGAGATTGTTTGAAGGTTTGCATGGCGACGTAATAATATATAATCGTTGTGGTAGACCACGTAGATTGTTCTGAAAAGAACTGTTGTTTGTTGAGAATGTCTCGACGTTTCGATTGAGTTGCTCCGATCGTTTTCAGGAGAATAATATCTACAGAGAATCCAAACAGGGAAAAACTTATATGCTTGGATAGTGAGACTTGAGGCTGATTGGTAGAAAACTAACAATAATTGAGACTATGTGAGAAAAGGTTAATACAAAGCCAGGTAATCACCAAGATAGCCACCAAGTTGGCCGCCATTACAGGCTAATAATGCTGCCAAAACCTTCTTAATTATATTCTAATTAGACCTACGTCTTAGTTAATCCTTACCAATAAACTAATGTACGTCTGATTTTTTTTGTTTCTTGAAAAAGAAAAAGTTTTTCAGTTCAGTGTTTCTTCAATCGTATCCCTTTAAAATGGCTGTCGAATTGCAGTTCCTTTGTCCCATAGCACTGTGCGCCCAATACCTAGTGGTTTCAATGAAATAAATGAAATGAAATAGCAGAAGCAGGCTTGGGTACTGCACTTAGAATACGGTAATCAATAAGTCATTTTTATTGTCCGGAAAATATACCATGATACCATTTAGAACCACTGAGAAACCTTAACAGTAAAAATGACAACCCCCCCCCCCCTCACACTTATTATTATTATTATTATTATTATTATTATTATTATTATTATTATTATTATTATTATTATTATTATTTTGATATTACTATATATTATTATTATTATTTATTTATTTATTTATTTTATACTCATGATTCTTATTAATTTATTTTTCTTAAATGATAATTTGGATTCAGAAAAATGATACGGACTGTAGTCTTACCTCGTGAATTGTCGATAATATCTAATTAAAGACATGGTATAGCTCGTTGAAATTTTAGCATTGGCTTATGAAGTTCATATCTCAACTTAAAGCTATATTTAATCACCGTTTAATGTAATAATAAAATGGGTTTTTTTCAATATTTTACAATTTAGCAGTGGAAAAAGAAAAAGAAATTTTATTTGCCAGTAGTCCTAATTATGGTATGTAAAACAGACTAACAATATAATATGTCAATGTATCCCAGCCACAGCTACAGTGCAGACTACAGATCCAACAAACTTTAATATGGGCTCAACACAAGAGATGTCTACAAATGATTCACCAACAACTAAACCGACAACCGCTATAATTACGACTACAGGTGGAGTAGTCTCTACGAAGGGCTTAACACAAGATACGTCTACAAATAATTTCCCAACAACTAAACCGACAACAGAAACGACAGCCATTTTAATTGCGACTACAGGTGGAGTAGTCTCTACGAAGCGCTCAACACAAGATACGTCTACGAATGATTCCCCAACAACTAAACCGACAACAGAAACGACAACCACTATAGGCCTAATTACGACTACAGGTGGAGTAGTCTCTACGAAGGGCTCAACACAAAAAAAGTCTACAAATGATTCCCCAACAACTACTACAACATTAATACACTCTACTTCGTACGATACCACAACTCAAGATAATAAGGGCCCATCGCCTATAACAAATATTGACACAACAGTGGCTAAAATTACCAGTACTCTGTATTCAACGACGGGCCCAATGAAGGAAGCTACTACATCATCATCAACAACTACAAAACCTCCAAAATATTATTTAATATCTATAGAAAACTCAGGAGTCAACGTTAAATTGAACATACCAAGCGATGAGGTAAAGTTTAATATTTAAATTTAGTATTGTTATTATTATTGTATATAGGCCTATGCATTATATTGTCAATTTACGAATGTCAATCGATTTATTTTCATATAAAATCAAAATCAAGATTTAAACTGGAATAAATAACGTCACACTTTTGGTAACCTTTTTGTATTTCAGTTTGATGAAAACAAATTCAAAAGCTCTATTGCTGAGAATACGATAATGTACTGTACAGCTGAAAACTCAAAATGTGAGGACAATTATAAATACATAAGGCAAGTCGCGAATTGATGGATTTTCTTATTGAGTTAATTAATCGAAAGGGAAATTATAATGTTTCTACAAGTAGACGTTGACAAAGAATACAATCAAGACAAGCTAAAGTAGATTACTGTGGTAAAATGAGTCAGTCAGTCAAACAGACAATCTGAAGGTGAAATTATGAAATTATGAAATAACATGTACCAATAATAAATAGTAGCGATTACTTTACGTCCGAATGAGCTCCGTGTGATGCCCTATATATGGCCATGCAACTATTTTTTTTTTGTCAAAGAAAATTTGATAAACTGGGCAGAGCTTTAGACTAAATAATACAGTGGTTTCTGTTCTTTTTTTTAATGCAAGAGGTCCTTTTTGGCTCTTAGTTTGTTTACATCAACTGAGTCATTATGCTGATAACATAGAGTATGATATAACATTGATATAAAGTAGGGGAATACCCAAAATTACCACTCAATATCTATTCTGGTGAAAAGGATTGCAATTGCTGGAATAAAAACAAATCGAGGAGGCACAACAAGAAAAAGGTGGTGACTAGAACTTACTTTTTCTAACTTGCCTTACTGCTCTTGAACCTGAGAAAGGCAAATATGAAAATTTGCCTGGTCATCACATGTAAAAACTATATTAAAATAGTCTGTCATATATAATCCTAGCCAGATTTTCCAAAGTCACACCCTCATCGTTCTAATCCTCATACATAAGACGTCGATCATATACATGGCCATAGAGAAATATTGTAATCTCTGGCAAGACGCAGCGGCTTCTGTGGTGGTTATTTAACTTGTGATCGCGATTTTGAACCACACGTTGACCATTCTCAGCGGACCATGGTTAGATACCCCAACATGCATTGTTAGTTGACTGTAAAAGTGGCTCACGCTATGTTTCTAAGATGCAAGGATTTAATGGTCCGAAATGTACTGTCGGTTATACTTATGAATAATAATATCATACCTATAATGACTATTGTTACCCTTGCATTATAAAAAAGAAACTTCAGCATCTACGGAATTGTGATTGCCATTTTAATAATGATAATAATACTACTGAACTTTATAAATTTAAATAAGGTGTTCTAAAAAAACAACCATTTTAGACCGAACAACAAGGCACCAACTATAGATGCAAATACATTTTAGTTGTATTAAAATTTCCATAAGGACCATAATAAATTTAATTTTTATGTTAAAGTGTATATACAGCATAAGATTGATCTAACAAGCACCACCGTGATTCCTAAATAGTTTGGCTGTAATGACACTCTGTTAGCATTCCATAGTAGATATGTCGTTTTCTAAATACCTATTTTTGACCGGAAAGAGTTGTTGCACCACGCCTAATGCAGTTCAAACTACCATCCATTATCATAGAGGTCCTATTTACAAAGACATCAATATCAACTTAGAAAGGGTACCTATTGTGTTTGTATTTACCTAGAAAATATTTTAGCTCCACTATTCAATGTATAACATAGCCTATTATATTAAATGTTATAATTGTTCATATTATAGGCCTAACTAAAACCAATATTAACTTTTCAGTGTTTTAACTTTACTATACATTTCGTACTCTAGTCTTAACTTTAGATTTTGGAAATGTAATATGTTAATATTGATATCGTGTGAATTACCCTCCCTTCCTTCCTCACATACACCATTCCTGGTGTTTATGCTGGTATGGCATAAACACCGGGAATGGCCATGTGTAAAAATAAAATGATTTTTTTTAAATTTATAGTTCCTCTGACGTCATCATTTACCACCAGGGATCCAAACCATACTTCGAAGTAAATACAGAATACGACATTCTTGCAGATGATGAACTTCATGTGTCGTTTTATGTCAAAGATCCTTACACTGACACACTGACTGTAATGAACACTGAACAAGCAACATCAATGTTAAATGAACAAAAGGGCAACATAGAAGAAGAGCTAAACTACGAATTCGAAATTGAAACGCCTTACACGAAACCGGATGGGTTCCCCGGCTGGGCAATTTCACTGATAGTTTTTTGTGTTATTTGTATATTTGTTGCCATATATGTATTCTGGCGAGCTAAAAAGTTGGAGTAAGTGAACTCTTCCTACGATACATCGAAATCGCATCTTATAGGCCTATAGATAAATTTCAAATACTTCCAAGTTCTATAATAAATTTTACTTCTGTACAACGTGAACAT